AAATAAGGTAAAGTAAAGGCAGAATGTAATTAGATAAACTTATATAGGTAGAAGAGAGGTAACACATACAGAAGGCAACTCTTTAGATAAAAAGAAAAGTTACTAGTATTTATACATAGCAGCAGTGTTATAGCCTAGATATAAATAATTGCGCATAAGTAGAATTATATATCTATGTTACATAATGCTTATGTGTAAACCTCTGTGCATAAACATCTAGATACCCCCTTTTTCTTTATACAAAGGAAAGATAAGAGTAATAGAACTAGAAACATGTTACCCTTACTTTACCTACCTTATACGCTGTGCACACTGTACACCACTCTTACTCTTGCTACTTAAGTGCTTATACTATAAGCAGCTAGCTGTTAGAGCCTATTCAACAGTTTTTAACTTTTTTCTTTCTCTACTATACTTCTTAAAACTTATTTTATTTAAAAATAAATTACCTTTAATACTATTCTCTTATAAGTTAGTTATAGTTTCTATTAATTCTTTAATTTACTCTTACTATTACTATATTTAGATAACTTACTATACTAGTATAGAGGCTATAATCTAGATAGATCTATATACTATACTACTACTTAAATTAGCTAGTATAGTTATATTCTAATTTTATCTAATCTCTTTAAAATAATAGTTAAAATATTAAGAACTCTTATAACTATAAGGTATCTATAGCTACTATAGTTAATAAATTTACTATCTTTATTTATAATTTAGTAACGTACTTTATAGGCAAGTTGCTTACACACTTAAGTTGCTTACTTTTACTAAGACCCTACTACACTACTCTTTCTACACTAATGCATTTCTAATAACACTACTTAAATATGTTAAAGAAATGTTAGATGTAGCTTATACTTTAAGCTTTTAAATAAAACATAACACTTTTTAACTAACACGCTATAGCTATTTATAGAGTCTTTTAAAAGATAATAAGTAACTAATGCGCTAGATAACTTTTCTAAGCTAATTATATAGCTAACTTATAAAAGCTAGATAATAATAAGAAGTAAGTAATTATTTAGCACATACTTAAGCTAGATGTGTAAGGATTTCTTCTTTAGCTAGCAGCTATAGCTAATATAGCTAATTCTTTACACACTAAGTGTAATATAAGCTATATTAGCATAAACTAGCTTAATATATTTATTAAGTGTTACTTAAAGCTTAAAGTAAAGTTTAAGTGTAAGTATAACTATAAAAAAGCTTTTTATAAAAGTTTTATAGTAATTTAAAGCTAGTTTAACCTTATAAAAAATATTAAAGCTAAGTATAGTATTTAGAATAATAATATGTATAACTTTAACAAAACAGAGTTTATAATAGGCTAAATATCTACTAAAGCAGTTATTATAAGTTTAAAAAAATAAAGACAGCTAAAAGCAGTCTAGCTAGGCAACTAGGAGTAGACAACAGCTATCTAGGGCATTAATGCTAAAAAGTAAGCTATTTTACTTTTTATTATTTTTTAGAGTAGCAACTACTTTTTAAACTAGTATAAAAAAAATCTACTTTAAAATTAAGTTATTATAATCTCTAAGCATAGCTAGACTACTAATTAGCTTAGTCTAGACTAGTTAAAGCACTTTAATATGCATATAAAAAAGCATACTATTAGCAGCTACTATCTACTAGTTATTAATAGCTATAAAAGCTATAACTTACTTTATTTTTAGTAATACTATAAAGATAATAAAATTATTACTATTTATATACTTTTTTACTTATTACACCTTTTATAGCTACTTAATGTAGGTTATTTTACTCTTTTAAAAAAGGTATATAGGCGCTAAGCTAAAAACTTTATATGTAACTAGATTACTTATATTATAAAAATAAAGTTCTTACTATGCTTTAAAGTAGCTTATAATGCTATAATTACTTTTAGTAATATCTAAAAAAGGTTTTAAAGCGCTAAATTAGTTTCTTTTAACTTATAATAAGTTATAATAGGCCTTAATATAAAGTTACGCACTTTATTACTACTACTACCTATATATAATAAGCTCTAGCAGTTATAACCTCTAAGTAATACTCTAAAACTTAAGTTATAATTAATGCTTATAAAGATAAAAATTTAAAAGTATATAAATAGTTTACTAACTTCTATAGTTAAGGCATTTAAAAAAGTTTTAAAAGGGGCAGTAATAATTATGCATAAGCTAGTGTTAGTGTAATAGGAAATTACTAAACTTTAAGTAGCTAATAAAGCTACTATGTAATATAAATTACATAAAAAAAAGTAAATTAAAGTAAAAAAGACCTTAATAATTTAAAAAGGCCTACACTTAATAGCTCTAAAGAAGTTTAGAGCGTGCAGTAACAGGAAAAAGGCAAAGAAGCAAGTGTAAGCTAAAGTAGGTAAGCTATTCTAAAGGCGCTGCAGATAGTGCAATTAGACTAGGTATAACGCGCAAATGTGTAAGCAAGAAGCAGAAGTAGTATCTAAATAATATTCTAGGCTGTACTGTACTATATAGTGCCAGAGCGGGTTGTTATAGGCTATAATAAAGTTTGTTAGGGTAGGGTCTTAGCAAAAGTAAGCGACTTAGGTGTGTGAGCAACTCGCCCATGAAGTACGTTATAAGAAAAAGCCCTAAATAAAAAATATAGAAAAGAATTATAGAATATTATATTTCTTAGAATACTATAATAATATATATCTAATATATATTAATAAGAAATAGAGATTAGGATAGTTCTCTAAGAAGCTAAGATAATTAAAAGAAAAAGAGAAAACACTTAACGTACCTAACGGGTTGGCCGGCCACACAGGTTGGCCGGCCACTTTTGCTAAGCCCCCACTAAAACCACCCTATTCTCTTGCAAAACAGCCTACTTTAGCCCTATATAAAGTAATACAACATAAGATATTATTTAGAGTCTACTTCTACTACTTACTTACATGTATGTAAGTTATGCCTAGTCTAATTACACTACTTATATTACCTTTAACTTAGCTTACTTTCTTTAGCGTGTACTTATGTCTTTAGCTTTTTCTTATTACTACGCGCTTTAAACTCCTTTAAAGTAGTTAGATAAGCCTTATTCTTAACTATTAAAGTCTTTTCTGCCTAAATCTACTTTCTTTTATGTAATTTATATTATATAGTAGCCTTATTTACTGCTTAAAGCTTTGTAATTTTATAGCTTACTTTATTACATTAATACTTTAAATAACTATTATCTACTTTTTATTACTTTACTATATTACCTTTAGCTGTCTTTATCTCTCTAAAGCTGTAATAACTGCTTTAGTTAATATCTAGCCTATTATAAAGCCTAACTTGTTAAAGTTATACCTGTCTTTATTTTAAATACTATACTTAGCTTTTATGTTAGCTACTAGGCAAAACTAGCCCTAGATAACCTCTAGATCCTTATAAAGTGCTTTTTTATAATTATACTTATAATTAAACTTTATTATAAACTTAGGGCAGTGCTTAACCTATATACTAGTCTAGTTTAAGCTAACCTAGCCTAGATT